TAGAGGGCTCTCACCTAGAGATCTTAAAAGATCAATTGTTTAATTTTAATTCTAATAGCAAACATTGTTACTACTAGTAAGGCACTTGTTACTACTAGCGTGGCACTTGTTACTAGTAGTAACAAGAAGCTAATAGATGGCGTGCTACTCTCGATGGCCTGTGATGGCCAGGTGTAAAACCCTTGCCACTTGGCATCCACCAGCGGCTGGATGGGGTGGGTGGGCCGAACTCACGTACTGGTGCTGGACTGGCTAGACTGGTGCCGGGCCATGCTGGGTGGATGGAGTGCCTTGCTCTCCTCAGGGCGACAAGGAAAGGCGCGACAGATCACAACACCTGCTTTGCATGGCTGCGGGCTCCAGCAAGACCCAGGGACCATCAGGTTGTAGATCTTTGTTTCCTTGTACAAGTGGGTTTAGATGGCACCCTATTTTTGTGCCGTTGCCCTCAATTCCCACAAGTTCTTCCTCTTTTTGGGACACTGATAGACTGATAGACCTCTGTCAGAGATGAGTCAGACTGAGGTCTATAAAGGACAGAATTTAGACCCTGGTGCATGAGGTCTAAAGGAAGCATTCCACTTCCCACCTTCCAGGACTCCTATTTTTCTAAAGCACCAGTGAAACTGTTGCAGGCCTCTAAAGCATGGTGAAGCTTGAGCCGTCAAACGTGGCCGGGCCGAACTCCCAAGGACTGGAGACAACCAGCACGTCGTGAGAGTGCCAGTGAAACTGGCATGAAGTCCCACTGGGTGACATTGACCATCATTGACCCCTTTTCAACCACTCCAATGGAGGTAGCAAATGGGCCACACTAATGTCGGCTACCATATCATACCCCAAACGCTCCACGGGACTGGAATATATGCCGCGGCACCACCCCTGGCCGTTTCTCGGCAGTCCGGACTGGCAGTCCGGAGTGTAGTGGGTACAGAGATGGTCTGGGGCAAAGCAGAAACAACACGACGACTCGATGGAGGCGTTTCGTCTGTCCGTCTGTCTCACCGATTTGTCTTTGATCCGAGCTCCTTCATGTCTCTCTCTCTCTCTGTGAAGAAATGTTGTGCCACGCGTGTTTGTTTTTTTCTCGGAGTCCAATAGATATAAGTTCAGGGATGGTAGTGGGAGGATCTCCGTGCATAGTTCAAAACTCCCTGTGCAGGAAATTTGGGGTCACTATCATGTCAAAGGTCAGCCCCATGGCATTGGAGTCCGTTCAACATAAGTTCTTTTTACGGGAGAGGGGCTGCGCATGGCTGCGCCTGCGGTTAGGTCGTTGATCTGGGCCTGCGCAGAGTTCGCGAGCCTCTACAATGAATCGAGCCTGGGCTCCGCAAAGAAAGAAAGAAAGAAAGAAACATGAGTGTCGGCAAGTGAGGCAAAATATGGCACAACTAAATCACATCCAATCCATCCATCAGTGTATCACTACAACCGCTTGTTTTTCAAACGAAGGAGACTTTTGGTGGTCCAAGTCAAAAAGACTGGAGACTAGTCCAAAAGGTCTCCGTTCCGCCCAAGATGCATCCCGGGCTGGACCATTCTGTCTGGTAGTAGGCCTTTTGTTTTTCTCTCACCAGTCAACAGCTATGAGGTCCCACGGCTCAGAGTCAACAAGACATCCATGGATCGGAGATGATCGGAGCTACTCCAGCGTTTCGGGTGAATCGATCGGAGAAAATTGGAGATAGTTCCGATGCTGAAATCCTTCACCCTCATGCATTGTAGACGTAAAGACCGTAAAGAAAACTGAAAGAACCATAAAGAAGTCCATAAAGAAGACACAGCACTGAATCAACAATGTTTGCCTGATTTGCTGAGGTTGGTTTCAACCCTATCCCAGTTGCAAAACATTGCTTTAGCCCCGCCACAGAGTTGCCATTTTTTGCAGAACCTCCCTGATCTTTGCGTGTACTTCAATGGGTTACCTCGTGACCATGTCGGGTAACCCACAAAGACGAACACACCACGACGACGACCTTCGCTCCCAAGGAACACCGTGATCGTCGACGACACGGTGGACGTTTGCCGGGCCAATCCCCAGCACTCCATCCAGTGCAGTCGCCACTGAGCTTCCGAGACGTCAGATGGGCGGAGGGTGTTTCGACACCGGTCGGTCTGACGGATGTGCAGAAGGTGTTTTTTTTTTCACCGGCTTCGATAGGGTGCATGATCTACATGACATGGAGACCATTGTAACATATTGTAACCATTCTAGTAGCCCAGAAGTGAATATTTCGTTCCGGGTTCGTTGATCAAGGCATCAGACTTCTTGGTATTTAGTTGTTGTGGAGCTGTTGATCGGCATTGCCGGTCAATGGGGCAATGTAGGGTAGGGGACTGGAAAATAGGTCATTGGTGGGTTGGATGTGACGTGTGTACATGCTTGATCACTGTGTATAGGCCCATAAGGTTTTGGTGAGATGTGTGAAGAGTCGTTTCGTTTCCTGGCACGGTTTTGGTGTTTAGATCGGTATCCGTTTGACCTTGGGACAGACGGCAAGAGATTGGGGTTGTAACCATATATGTAGCACCTCCAGGTCCATCGTTACATGTGACAAAACCATCCTGCTGAAGTAGATAGAACTGTTCTCATCACCCTGCATATAGACCCTGTGGCTCCTACGGGGAAAACATGGGAAAACCATCAATCATCATAAATCATTGGCCTTCGTTCGATGGTTCTCATATGTTCTCATGTTTGTAAAAATTATGTGGTTGGTTGGTTGGTGGGTGGTGGGTGGGTTGGTTGGTCGGGTTGGTCGGGTTGGTCGGGTTGGTTGGTTGGTTGGATGGATTTCTTGAAACCCATGTGCAGAACGCTAGGGGGGAAGCCGGGCCCATCTCAGCATTTTTACGGTCAGGATACTACTGCCGTGACCACGCGACCGACGAGGAGCTCACACGCTTGGCATGTTACCTGAAGCGCATGGCGCGAGACTCAAGCCGCTTCCCCGCGAACCACCAGAGGTGGCGTGAGGAGGTGTCCACTAACGCGCATAGCTAGCGGCGGCATAGTGGCATCAACTGAGGGAGTGTGATGATTCAATCATCACCTATAGAGACAAAGGAACTGTTGGTTTAATGTGAATCCGAATGAATCTTCAAGCTTTGCTGGGGATTTATAGATGGATGTAGAATAATTCTTAATTACGCAGGTTGAATCTTCCTGTTTGAGGCCTGGGAGGCCTGAGGTTTTGGCGATCACTTCGTAACAAATTAGATACATTACACATTAGCAACCCGTCCATCCTCTAAATCATCAAAGGGGGACTTTGATGGAAAAGAACCGATCTGTGCAGCTGGGAACCAACCAAAGAAACAACCACTGAACCTTGGACAGAGCTTGGGCAGATGATGGCAGATGACTCTTTTTGAGGACACTGTCCATCCTTTTCATCGCAACCCTCACCATCCAACGGTAATTCACGTAACGTGAAGAATATATTCTGAGACAGACATTCGCGTTGCCAGGAGAGTCGATTTGGCCATAGTAAGGCGATGCTGAAGGCGATCCTGCCCAGACATGGCTATGAGTCAAAACCTCCCTCACCAAACCATGTTAGGTTGACACCCCTTATAGAGGAATTTGTTCATTTTCGTCAGCCAGGGTGCCCGGGGTTTGATCCACAGACCCATCGAAACATGACCGACAGCCTGTGCATCCAGACAGTCTGTGCATGAGATCTGCCACACCGCTGTTTGCATCCACTCCGGCACACCGGAGTACGTCCGTGCGCACGGACTCTCCACGGAATCAGCTTTCGAAGCATCGCATGCACAGCGAAGGAGCGAGCGAACAATGGTGTAAGTCAATCGAAGGATCCGAACACAGTGGTGTTTCTTATTTTGATTAGAGAGGAAACATCGTGCGCACTGCAAATCTTGAACACATACACGCAAGAAAAGGCTCGTTCAAACAAGTCTTGAAACATGTCCATGTCAATGACCAACTGGTGTATAGTGGAAGTCTCAATCTATATTTTGGACCATTTGATGTCCTGCTGACCTTGATCCTGTTCTTGTGCTTGAACTGGTCTTGCACCCCTTCTAGAGTTCAGAACTGAAAAGAACCCATAGTATTTGATAGTGGCATTGGATGACAATATATGGCAATAGTCTATCAGAGATATGTTCACTTATCCAGTCTGTAGATTCAACTTCCGGGAGTTGCACTGGTGAAGCCCGGACCTCGCTTCATGAGGTGTCGCGACCTGAGTCCGGGGGATGGTTGTGGATCTCAGGACCAAGTCGTCTTCATGCACTTGAGCTATATGGAATCTGTTCACAGTATATATGGTATAGCGTGGCATGGCATAGCATATATAGGGATATCATAGTAGGCATCATGACTCCTAATTGTCTATATAATATAGTCTAACTTTACCTAAGTTTGCGTCCAAAGCGAAAGCCAAAGGTATCCCAAAAGATCCCAAAGCACATATGACATATCGTTGGCATCAGCTGTGATCGGAGACATCCTGGAATCGCGCTGGCCATTGGCCACTGGCCTTGCCAAGTGTTCGTCGCGCTAGAGAGAGAACAGCTTGCGGCATTCGTCCTGCAAAAAAGGCACCATAGATGTTGAAACTGCTCCACTAAACTGTAGTTTGGTGTTTCAAGAGATGTCCATGATGGATTTCAGTTTCTATCACTTGCATTAGTTCAGTCAACGGCTGTCAGAAGATTTTGAGGTGGGTTTCTCATCGAGATCGATGTTCAAGTAAAAGCTCAAACCTGGGACGCCGGGCTCACGACTGAACAAGCCAAGTACCATCCGTCCCCCAATTGCGCCAAAAAGGTCTTTCCCGAGTAAGGCCACATGTTTTACAGACCCATCCGGCATCCCATTTGATGTATTATGGTTTTATTCCACCGCTTAACATGAGCTGTGGCTTGGACAGATTCGCGCTATAGTTTCATGTGTTTGATGTTCTTTTTTGGGGCTTTCTTGGTTTGGCGCCTGGCGGGCGCTTCGTTGCTCGGCTCGGATGCGGCAGGTCTCTTGGGCCCATCCCCGCTTCGGCCATTTGCTGGCCACCGCCGGTGAGCCAACGGGGAAGAAGAGAAGACGGGAGACGGCGGGTGTTTCAGGAAGTATGGTGGATCAGCATGGAGAAGCGTGGATAGCAGCAAAATTCATGAAGTGGACTACCAGCAACACGCCTTTAAACTATAAACAGGTCGAACATGGCGGATGGACAGGGGATTCATGATGAAATAGGAACACCTTTAGTCTCTGAGGAAACGGCTCAGGAGTCAGCACCCGAATGGTGTGGGACTTGGTTCGACCGATGGCGTGATCAGTGGGGTTTGGCATGGGGTTGATGGGTGGAAGAGGCATTTGGCCTGGGCAGGGATAGAGGGTTGGTCACAAGAGGCCTAGCAAATTCCAAGAGATTCCAACTTTTCACAAGTGTTTGTACCAGTAATTATCCAACTATTTGTACCAGTAGTTATCCAACAAGGTTTTACTTGTATGTGGTGTTTTTCTGCTTCAGATGCAAGAGAGTATACGACCATCTACTTACTTTCCCTTTTGGCCGGACTTTTCAGGACTTTTCCTCTTTTTCTTCGGCGGTTGCGAGGTCTCGGTCACTTTGAAGGTGAGTACTCTGAATCTGAAGGGTTTTTGGTGGATTGAGAGTTAGATGGCACTTGTGGGCCCCCAAGTCAGGTGCTTAAAAACATGGAGCCTCCACTGCTTGACCGTCCGCTGTTACCCACTCACCGCGTCAAAGCGCGCGAAGTAATTAAAGCATTCTCGCGTCGTCGCGTCGCGTCGTGCCCGTGGTCGTGCCATCCGGTTCCGATCCGAAACGAACCCTGAGAAGGCGCCATACGAGACGCGCAGCGCGCGTAGCGTAGCGCGTAGCGCTGCGGCGACTCGTCCAGCCGTTTAGAAGCGTTTCAACCATTGAGCTTCTCACTTGTGGTGGTGGCCAGGTTATGACATGAAAGTGATCATCTGGAAAGAGGACAGACCTTGAAGATTGAGGTTGGAATGGCTGTTGGAGGGTTGGACAAGCTCGATCTTGGTCTTTGGTTGGAGAGGCTCACACCTGCAGCAGTTGGGTCTTCCTTCCTACATGGCACTTCTTCTTTGCCGCAGGCCCCTTACACAGGCGGCACTTATAGAACTGCTTCATTTTGTTGCAGACTGGTTTCTCAAACTCAACACAGCTGAGTGACCCCGCAGACACTGGAGCAGATTGGCTCCCTTACTTTGTAACGATTGGGATCGGACCAATGCGTATTCGAGGAAGAAAAGTGATTGCTCTATTGATCAACCAAAACAGCCAGATGTTCTATTTTTTTTTTGATACATTTCTCACCTGCCATTAACTTGCCTTTACATGATTCCCAAGAGTTATAGGATTCGACTCTGTTTGCAGGGTGTCACCATTACAACGTCACGTTTTTGCCGGACTGCTCATGCGTTTGATGAGGTTTTGTATCTGATGAAGAATGCATGCCTTAGCCATGCGCCTGACGCTAAAGCGACCGTGCCTGGGATAGGGGCATTGCTCGTCACTGCGGCAGGACCGTGGGCACTGGGTCATGGCCTACGTGGATAGCAGCCATGCAGCCTCGGTCAATGACGTGGAGTCGCTTGGACCGGGCGTGGGGTATGCGGCAGGGTATGCGTCGCGTGGGACGGAACACGTGGGACGGAACGGTCGTTGGAACGTACGTGGGCGTTTTTGGTAACGGAACACGTGGGTGTTGGAGTCGATGAGATGGCCGAGTTTGGTAGTTCAAAAAGTGTTGGAAAGGCCTTCAAGTCGCTTTCTCTTGGAGGTGAAAGTTTCAAAGAGATAAGAAGACCGAGGACGGAATTTGTGATCATTGATGTTGCGGTGAAGTGTTGATGGGCAAGAGGTCCTGCCGACTGTGTCAATGTGTAACGTTGTGAACATTGTAATGTATGTGATGTGTACTTCTTTGTGATGCCCTCCATCCAACAAACATGGTTACGTGGAACATCAGCGCCTGCTCTTTCAACCTCCGAGGTTTGCCCCACAGGAGCACGGCTTGCGCCTGGCCTGTGCCTCCTCTGATGGCCAGGTGCGGGAGCGGAAGGAAGGTTGCCAGCACCAAGGGGGGAGGACGCCATCAAAATACAGCAATTTGGGATGCAATAGGTGATAAGAATGCTCTCTGAAAAGCTAACAACAGCTGAAACAGAACACACACACAGATATATAATAATGATGGAACGTGAGCAGCATCATGTGCAACAATCCGGAATCATTTGTCCTTTGCTTTTTGGGGTTTGGTGTGCAGAGCTGGGCTTGCAAAAGACCATCAAAGGACAGGTGTTGAAGTTCATGCGTGGCGCCATCTCAGGAGACAGCTGCGAGTGGAGATCAACCATAAGAAAGGGGATGAAAGGGGGGGAAGGGTCCCTAACAGAACATTCCCCGGTTTTGTGGGGGACACCAGATATGTTCGTTGAACGTGAACAGCAGACACCTTCCTTGTCGTGGTTCACGGCTTGATGCATGGGCGTGGTGTAGATGTCCAGTGGCAAGTCGCTTGCATCTTCAGAGGTGAGTAACTTGAGCAATCCACTCTGATACACATGAATTAGAGTTCACCAGTCTTGGAAACTCCTGGACCTTCCCTCTTTGCAGATGTGTCTTGAGCATCACATCTTGAGCACATCCACCCAACGCCTCCTTGGCAAAAAAGGAAAACACACATATCACACATGGCCTCCAACCTAAGAGCAATGGCCTCCAACACACACATGGCCTCCAACCTGCAAAAGCCTTCGGAACCGGGACCAACACTTCGGAGCTCGCCCGAGTCCGTCCGTCCGTCCGTCCGCCACACCTCAGGTCTCGGTGCTCAGCTACTCGCCCGCCGACGGCCAATGGAGACGGAGCGTGCGGAACCCCCACCCCCGGCGCATCCGAACCGGGCGGGGCGAGACCAAGGGCGAAACCAAGGGCGAAACGTGTTCGGAGGATCGGATCCTCCATAAGCCAATTGGGTGACTAAAGGGTGTGTATGGGATGACTGAGGGATGACTTTGTCAGGTTCCTGTATATGTGTGTAGTATGCTGAAAAAACCCTGTGGGGGTCGGGATGCTTGGAATTTCCTCAGACTGGGGATTCATTGGGTCTTTCTGCGTCACCATGCTGATGTAAGAGGCTCTGGTGTTTCTTACAGCCCTTCTGGAAGATGTCTCAAGCCAAACTAGGTTCCTAGTTGCGGGATGCGGAGGCCCTTGCCAGTCTGGCCAATGTTGAAACATCTTGAAACTGCTTCTCCCTGGCTGCGCAGCGCTTTCTGCCCCGGTTGAAACCGGGGTCAGGTGATGCAGGCCCATTCGGGTGGGGCTCAGACTGTGAACTGGGCACCAGGCCGGTGGGATGGGATCGGAGAACGGATGAGGGCTCCGAGAACAACGCATCAACCCACCTTCTCTTTGCTTGTGTTTTTATTCAATTCACATGATATCAATATGTAATTCAACTCGTTAAAAAAAAAGAATAGATAATAATATCGTTCCTCAACATAGCCACCCACCGGGAAATTGAATACCGGGGTTGGGGGGGGCAAGGGTCAGTGACAGACTCCGAGAAAAGCTGTGCTCTGACATGGGCTATTCCACAGCTGTGTTGAGGTTCTTCAGCGCTTGAATCCATGTGACTAGCTTGGAGGGGATGGTCACCTTCACTATCTTCGTGATTTACCTCCAATCAATCAATACCAACGAAGCACGCCCAGTACTCAGTGTTAGGAAGAATTCAAACCTAGAACTGAGACATACACTGTCTCCGATCCAGGATTCCAACCTCACGTCATCTTCTTCCAAAGACAATCAAAGACCCTTCTGCATTACGCTCCAACACCCCCCCAAAACCGCACAGATCAGGCGTACCTCAGTCACCGTTCCTTTGTCCGTGCCACACGGGTCGACGGTGAACACCCCCAACCGCCGCGACGTCGCCCAGTGAGCTACCGGGACGGCGTGCCCTGCGGCTCCGTTCGCCTGGCGACCGGTGGCTGCGACCACACGGCGCGGGGAACGGCGAGACGTGGCGGAGGGAGCGTGGGAAAGCGTGGGAAAGCGTGGGGTGAGGGTTCCAGACTTGTGAACCACCAGCGGAGGGACCACCTACAGTGACAGAACACATATTGCTGTATACAACTTCTTAATGGGATAGTATCATTTTGCCATTATATACTTGGGACAAATGATCGTGATATCCGAATGAATGCGGAAAGGGGCCCAGATCCGTACACTGCTAAGGAAGGGAGTTATAAATAACCTCTCCTCCTAGGTGAGTGCTCCAAAATGGGCTTCAGGATGCTTCACGGTTCCAATGTCTCACTCGCTCCCGTTGGGAGAACCCCGTAAGATTATCCATAACCTGCAGCCCATGGGCTGACCTTCACAGACCATTCCACTTGGGCTGACGATGGATGATCCCCACACGCACCAGAAAAAAACACATAAAAACACAGTTGATTCAAGCGGCTTCAGATCTGGTCAGGTGAAGATATGGAGGTTTGACAACGAGGTGCACCGTCCGCACCGTGGCGGGTAGCCGGATTGGGATGGAGGGGACAATCCTACCATGCCATGCCCTAGCCATGCCCTACCATCCCCTAGTTTGGATATCATCAGATATTTGACGAAAAACTGATTCACCTGATTCACCTGGCTCCTCCAGATGTCCAAGTCGTAGTTGGATGAAAAAGCCTGGAACAGTTTTATGTTCCGTTTGTTTTACTGTAAGATGCTTTACAGTAAGTTTTGGAATGTGTTGAACAGCTTCTCACATCTTCTCACTTTTTGAGCTTGGGAAAGCTATTTTCGTATTGCTTCTAGGCTTGAGACAGGCTTGAGACAGCGCTTACTTTGTGAGCCACAAGATCCCTGAGACACTGCATAATTGTTGAGTTGTTGCTGTTGCTGAGTTCAATGAGTTCAATGCGTCATATATTGAGCGGATTGTATATTGAAACCCTAATCCCTAACCCTGCCTCTTTTCCTCGATATATGCTCAGGGCCCCAATTTTCCTCACCCGCAGGTTTGGTGCGAAGAGAACCCACGCTTTCCATACGCCCACACCGATTGGGCTCCTTGGCGTGAAAAGGGGCATCTACGAAGGGGCTGGTTGATGGGTGTGTGGTCTGTGTGTGTCAACCTCCGTCTCTAGGAGTTTTTGTTAGTCTGTTTCGAAGGTTTTTGAGTTTGTTTAAAGCCGCCGGGGGCCGGAGCCAGGTGGGGGGTCTCCGGCCAACGAAGACAGCCCCCACCTGGGTGCAAACGTACCGGCGGTTTAACTGTTGTCCACACTGTTCTACTCTCTTTTTTGCTTTCATGGTGATTTTCATGATACGCCCCCCCAAACCAGGGTTCCATGCACGGCGTTAATTCGTTTCTGCTAAGTATTCAGTAACTAGTTTCTCGGCTACGTATTCATTCGGCAGATGTGCAACACAATGTTTTAACAATTCAAGTCAGCGGACTCCATCGCCTTTCCGTTCCCTCATTCCTTTCTTCGTGGAACAGAGTTAACTGCAAACTCATTATCGAACTGTGTGTGCGTGCACTTGTGAAGGGGTTCTGATCATCGGGATGTGTTTGTTTGTTTTTGTTTTTTTTAGATGTGTTTCTTTTTTTAACGTTATTGTGTTTTGCAGACTTGCTAGAGCTTGGGTATGTTTTAAACGTCAGAAAAGCATAGAAAAGCATCCAACGCAATCAAACGAGAAACGTGTCAGTCAGAATGATCCAATCAAACCCCAACGGTCGACGGTGAGTCCATTCCGATGTCGACGATCGGCCTTCCACCGATGTCGACTCGGCGATCCGAGGTCCGCGATGTTGCTTGGCGACCGGACCATTCTAGCGTGCTTGCTACCGGGAGCCCCGCCGATTGAACAAGCGACGAACGATGAGTCCGAAGAATGTGTGATTTGTTTGGTTGAGTTCGAAGGTTGGACACATTGACATGGAGAGTGTGCTGGTGGTCTGCAGTCCCCAAAATACATGGTCTTTTGAATTGCTGTGCTTGACACTACAGAAAAGGGGCCTTTTTTCACACCCTTCTGGTCAATCTCTTTGCAAGGAAAACGAGCGACGGTGAGGAGTTTGTGTGGAAACTGCTGCGGTGTTGGCACTTTGGGCCGTTGAGTGAGTTCCTCGGTTGTTCCTGTCTCGAAAGCTGAAAGCTGTGTGAAGCCTTTTTTTGGGGGTTGTGGCGGTTGTGGCATGTGTAAAATTGTGTAAGTGTTTTAATACTGGTTCCCAATAGCGATGGCCTCCAATCTAATAGCGATGGCCTCCGACCTAATAGCGATGGCCTCCCAAAGCAAGGTGCTGAGTCCGCCGGGATGAGTAGTAGATCTTTCCAGCTTTGTAAAGCCATGTAAAGCCAACTCCAAGTTGATGAGCCAGCATTCTTCCCCGCCTCCTTTTCAATGTTGTATTTGTCAAGGGGGAAATTTGGCAAATTCAGGAGCATCACCCACTAGTAGTGTGCGTAATCCCGAGTTACTATTAATAAACGTACCCCAATTAATAAAAACACATGTGCTCGACCCCAAAAAACTGTTAGTAGCGTTTTGAAATTGCTCCCTTTGAAATTCAATACTCGTGGGTCCACAGTCGGGGGTGCCCCACATTTTAGGTGTATTAGGGGGACAGCAAAAATAACCCGAATTCCCCCTAATATTAAAAACATCTCCAATCCTCCCCAAAAAATACCTCTCTCCCTCTCTCTCTCTTCGGCGAGACCGCGAGACCCTGGTTCTCCCTCTCTGTCCCTCTCTGTCCCTCTTTGTCCCTCTCTGTCCCTCTCTGTCCCTCTCTGTCCCTCTTTGTCCCTCTCTGTCCCTCCCTGTCCCTCCCTCTCTCCCTCTCTCTCCCTCTCTCTCTCTCTCTCCAGCGCTGTCAAGCCTTCTTCCCTCGTTTTAACAAGGATTTTATATAATTAATGAGATTGGGAACCACAGGGATTTTCTTTCGAGACCCTACTTTTTATTAGGGCGAACAGAACATTGCCCATTTGGGGGTACAACAGGTGCCCCTCAATAATAAACACCCCCTATTAGTAAAAACACCCCAGGGTTTTTATTAATAGGGGGGGGGCCCCCCGTTTATTATTAGGGAGAGGGGATTAGCTGCTCTAACATTTTTTGACCCAGATTTGCTTGTGTCAACTCGTTGCACCTTTGGTGGGGTGATGAGCTTCAATATTATATATATATATATTATATGCATCAGTATGCATCATTTTTAATCTAGTTGATTTTAGACGCACAGGTTCCAGATGTTTCCTGTTTGGTGTTGTTTTGTCCGAATCATGGTTCCGTGAATGACACTGAGATCCTTCACCCAGACCGCCAGTTCTGCGTTTTCATTCTTCGCAGGAGCTGGGATCAAAGCGTGATCATTTGGTCTCAAGAAATGGAAGGCCAATGGTCGTTGCAGGGTGAGGGTGTATCGTCATAATGTGTAGGTGGGAAAACTAGAAGGAACAGGTTGTGTGGAAAACATACATTGGTTAGGGATCTCCTTGTTCTAAAAGGCCTATGTTGGTGGGCTTGAACCTTTCTCACTTCGCGTGTCTAGCTGAAACTCTCAGGTTTGCTGGCACGATTGCAGTAATGGCTTCATTCAAGGAAAAGGGTATAAAGATTTGGGTTAACCCCACACTGAAATTTGGCTGAATTTAGGATGTTGTCTCATCAAGGGCCTTTTCAACCAAGTTGGCAGTGGTCCTTTAGCGTGTTCACCACCATGACCCAGAGTCACCGCTAAAGCAAATGATTTCAGTGTAGTGGACATACCATGAACTGAGGGGGAGAAGTCACCCAGAAACATGACATGGACCATCCAGCAGTTATATAACAGTAAGAGTTGCTCCCAGTGGTCTTTTCGGTCCAGCAGTAGATCGCAGTAGCCTCTCAGCCCTCAAGATCGGGTGGATCATGGTAGCCTCTCATTGCTTCGCCCAACAGCCAGTGTTTTCCGCGAACATCACGCAGCCCGACAGTGATGGCCAAGAATGGCCGTTCTTGTAGCTCGACTCCGTCGACCGACTGTACGCTCGGCAGACCAACTTGGCACCGTCTCAGCAGTCACTGGGCGCAGTCACCGCCGGTGCCGTGCGCGGGTGCGGGGAGTTTTGCAGCACCGCTCAGACCATCTTGATGGCCCCGTTTTGTATCCGACCTGGTCTCGACAGGGGTTGGAGGTGCGCCTACGCCATCAGATCAAGGAGATTGGGTGTATTTGTGCTGAAGAACACCTGTTGAAAGGTCAATGTGGAAGGAAGGGTCAATGTCGCCGCTGTTGAACGAGAAACTCTGGCAGATGCGACTTGGGCCATCTTGGGCGCCCAAGACCGTGTGCCATTCTTGCTTCGATTCGACCAAGAAGAGGTTGCTCTCCTGACTCTCCTTACGGTCCAAAAACGTGAGCCTTTCTCACCTCGCACAGGGCTTGTCGCTTCACAGTGCTTGATCCGGCGACAAGTCGCCGGTCAAGGAGCGGCTATGATTCTCATCCATTCTCCATACAACTGCTTGTGTTTTATGAGGGACCGCCATGTAGATGAGCTACCAGACCCATACCCAAATGCGAAGGGGCCACCCAAATGCCCGCCAGTATGAAAGACCCGTGGAATGCAGCAGAGATGGTGGAATGCATGCAATTCTGTGGAAAGGCAATCATAATATAACCGTTACAATTTGCATCTCAGTTGTGGGGCCGTCGGGTGATCCTTGTTTGCTGGTGTTGGGTGTTGGGTTTTCAGAGCGTTTGGTTGCTGATGTTAGACTGATGTCTTTTTTTCCACTCAATTATTTTTGTTCAGGAGGATTCGGATTCTTGGTGGCCTCTGCAGGGATCGTCCAAATCGCTGATGGCTACATCTATAGTTGGGAAGTGACATTTGCATGCTCACCAAAATGATATGCCTACATTGTTCCTTGCACAACAGTCATACAGTCTTGCGGAGGATAGGGACCAAAAACGTTGTGTTTGCATGGGTTTGGTGTGTGGCGCTCGACGCTGTGCCCCTCGAAGTGCAGTACCTTTCATCGCAACTCCAAGATGCGGCAACGAAGGCCTTACAGAAATTGAACAAGATAAGGAGGGCATCAGCTCGAAATTTGCTCAAAACAGCGCTGGCAAAACGATATCGGGCGAGCATGGGACGTCCTAAGAGCACCCCCTGCATGGTGGGACTGGTTGTATGTCTGTGGACGTATATAGCAAAGAGAAGACCCAGAGACCTACAAAGACAGCGAGCAAAAAGAAACTCAACTCCGAGAGAGCAGGCGGAGTAGGATCAAAGGTGAGTCGAGAGCGGAGGGAGAAGGAGCAAAAGGAGAGAACTTCGAGAGCAGAGGAAAAGGAGAGTGCTTCCAGCGCTCCAGAATCTCTGCCACCACCGGAGCCCTGCAAATTGAGAAGAGACTCCTTGAGACTCATAGAGTAGCTATGGCTGTGGGTCAAACCCAGAATAACTTGGTTGACATACCTGGGAGGCCAAGCTACGTGGGTGGGGGGGCTTCAGGTTTCGACCCATCGTTACTGCAGCCTGCAAGCCCTTCCACGTGCAGAAGAAGCCAGTGCCACAGTTTCACATCCGCTGTGGCGGTGTGGCAAAAAGGTGTTGGATGAGGTCTCCCGGAGAGGCTTTTTTTTCGTTTGAAAGGATATGTTAAATTGTATAAAATTTTGTTCATTGCCAGGTCATGTCAGAAAATAAAGGGTGACACCCATTAGACTTAGGTATTCTTTATTGGGGGAAAAGATGAGAAAGTACTGCGAGGGTTTCTGACTCTTCAGGTTGAGTCGAGATTCTTAGGTCTTACGGAAGGCAGATCCTGCAGCTATTGAGACCCCAGGATTGGCGGCAAACACCCCTTAGCATCTTTGGGTGGCTTATTCATACAGTTTTTGGTGTTGTTTGCATCCCTGAAGCCAAACCAACCAAACCATCCAAACCCCTATCTTTTGCTTCTTCCGGCACATGCCAAACTCTGTCATTCAGCTCGGTTGAGGCCAAGCATGGAGACAAATCTCCAAGATCCAGTTGGATGGAAAGGTGGAGTGCCTTTCCTGGCCAGGGCGCCCGTTTCAGCGTCTTTCTGCAGATTGCGGATCGCGGATCGTCGATCGTGTGTTCTTCAAAACTTCCAT